AAAATACAGTAGGTGAATACTATCTGCAGGCTATTTTAACATATTGGAGGACTGGTCAAAACATTGGCTTATGCCCTTTACTGTCAGTAAATGTAACTTTCTTCAAATCGGCAGTTGTAGAGCATCCAGTCCGAAGATACACCGCTGCAACAAGTTGAGAGTCAGCAGGACTTGAGTGTGTGGATTGCTTCTTCACTCAAACCAACGTTGAACTGTACGAAGGCGGCGAAGTCGGTCGGATCTATATTGCAGCTGATTAGACGAGTCTTCTCAGTTACAGAGCGATTGCAGCGTGGAACGCCCTTCCCGAAGAGTTTGCCCTCTCCACCTGTGTTAATTTATTTAAGAGCAAACTGGACATGCACCGAACCTAGGTACCTAATGGCCAAGTGGCAGACATACGAGGGCATTACATTATACTACTCTTGTTAAGCGAGTAGCCGTTATTTATTACTATTTCAACTAACCGACAACTGCTGTGTTTTAACCCCGCAAGCATGTAATCGACGTACTTTTTTCAATTTTTCTTTGTATCCTTATATTTCCTATCATTTTGTTACCAATTTGGAGTTCAAAGGCGTTCCTCTCAATAAACTGATACCGATACAGAGAGTTACTTCAAATGGCCAATCCAGGAGGCTTTAAAAGTGTCGACCATTGTGATGTTGTTTCCCTGGATTTTTCCTTAACCGTTTACAACCGGCGATAAATATTGTGAAAGACAAAAGCAGGAATACTTTGCGATAATTAGGGGCATTCAAGTGCCCTGAATGCTGGTTGAAAACCGTTGAAGGCGCAGCCTTATTACTTAAACTGTGTTTATTTTTCCCCATTTGTTAAATATCTATACCCATATACTTACGTATCCCCACAAAGGCGTAATGCCAAGATAGTTCAGTCTGTATTTAGAATTGTCCTTCTTTTGCACTTTACTGCAATTTGGCTTCACCAATATAAGTACGTCCCCGTCAAGGTGTTTATTCGATATTGTTGATGATATACTCCTGAATTCTCTCAATTCCAAATTGGAAAATCGGGCGATAAATTTTATTTTTACTACTAAATATGACCATGGAATCCTTTTCGAGTTATAGAAGCATAAGATGAGGCAAACCAACCCTCCGCATTAGTTAGATTTAGCTTTTTTGCCTCAAAATATCCCTTCTTAAACATGATTAACTGTAATTTTGTTTTAAAAATGCAGGGCTGTGTCCGCCATATCGCTACTGCAATCTTATAAGGGCTAAACTCCTTACTTTCTGCAGCTCCGAAATGTAAAGATTGAATTTTTGAACTGACGCCACGATGCGATTCTGATTTTTTAATTTACTTAGAACACTACTATCATGTCAAAACCTGACTGACCTTTCTTGACGGAGCACTTCAGGGTGTCGGAGGGGTCCACATCTGCGACACATTTTCTACCTTTAGGCGTATAGTCCCGGCTGTCCACTCGCAGTGACTATAGAAGAAGGGAACTGAATAGTACTCTAGGTAGCATAGACAAAAAAATGAAAAATCCTATTTTTCGTGAATAAATGAAGTTGTTCTGCAAATAGTCCCATTTTTAACTCGAAAAGACTATTTGGCAAATGTGTGTTTTCGGCAATTCATCATCAGGCCTTCCGTGGCCGAAGACAGGTGGAGATCGCCTGTCACTCCCACGCCCTGGTGAGCGGTGTCCACTCCGTGACAGTGATTTTCACTCCACATACTCGATCCATGACTACTACTCACAGCCTACCAAATATCACCCCACCCCGCAGTCCACTGCTGATCTTGTCATGAGGGCAGTGCGAAAACTAGCAAGTTTTAGCTTCAGCAGTTTCCTTATCTCATGGAATGTTACTCGGAATTCTGAAATTCGTTTTCGATTCAAGCATATTAGTTATGTATGTTTGTAAGAATGACCATCTTACTGCCTAATCGTAATATATTTTGTTCACATCAGGATACCGGCTTTTTAGCTAAATTATTTCTGACCAATAGCAAAATGCATGAGCAGTAAGAAGTAACTACTTAAGTAGTATGCATTTTCATCATTGATTTTGACTGCCTTTATAAATTTAAATATATTTTATAGAAAACACAAAATAAAAAAAAATATTTTTTGTACTTGTTTGGTAGAAAATTGTGCCTTCTTTAAATTTTATATTTAAAGATGGAATAGCTTTCTTTTTTAAAAAAAATTTTCTTAATTGCCGAATAATCTTGAAACCTAGTGAGTTCTGTACTTGAATTCAAGGTTTACGAACTGCGGGATGTGTACATCCTGTTGAAGAAAAAGCACGTTTTCGCCTACGATTTGAGGAAGAAGTCAAATAGTTCTCATAAAATATTGCAATAGATGTGTAACATGCTGCAAATATTATAGGCGGCATTAATACATTGACGGGTATGATGTATAATCATTCAACAATCGTAAAAACATTCATAATTAGATAATTTAAGGCAAATGGACCTATCAAAACCTGTGGCCAGAATATGAAGATTTGTAAATCATTTTTCATAATCAGAAGGGCAGTTTACGAACGTACGTATACTTCTGAAAAATTCTCTTCGGGCCATTACATTTATATGGAAGGGGAAGGTACAGGGTAACG